ATCTATAAACTATTATCTGCCCAAACTGCCACAGACAGAAGGGTATAGTTTCTAGTTGTAGTAGAAATTATACTTACTTGTTGGACACCACTATAAACCTGTAAAGGATCCCTATAGCCGTGTCATTGTTATAGTACTGCTGTTAAGAAGGCCACGGTACTGTAACAATGTGTATTGAATCCTGTTTGTTTCTACGGCTATTTTCACAGGGCCTTTAATCTATACTATTAATTATTGTGAACTTTGCCAATTATACTCTGGTAAATATTCGAAAATATCGTAATTGCAATAAGTTACAATTTGACAAGTCTGGCATTATGTATGTACTGTATCTTAGGTCTGACACAAATTAATTCCAAAACTCAATTTTAAATTTCATATACAATATATTTTTCCGTTTCTGGTCTTGTGTGTAGCTACTTATTTTAACTATAAAGAGAAAACCTGCAAATCTTATCTAATAAGATTGGCAGGTTTTTGTAGCAATCATATCAACTTGTAGCTGATTTTGCTGCTAACCAATTTGGTCAAAACTAGTTGCAAATTCAAGTATATATTTAATAAAAACCGATTAAAAAATAAACCAGATTTAATCAAGGAGTTTGTTCTCGAGAGTTGCACCAATTGAAATTTATTATTAATAGAGTAACCAAAATGGTTACCTATTTTTTTTTTTGGTAAGGTGGAGCGAGACTGTACTAGAAACTCATAGCAACAATAATTATTAAAAAATTTATGTTTATTGCCGTAATGATCATATATTTGAATACTATAAGTTATTGTAAAAAATTGTTTAAAGGAAATAGCTAGAAGCCTTTATAAATTAAAATTTTAGATACCAGTACTAAATTTTTAATTAGATAATTGCTTTTTGGAGCCATAATTATAATTGATTGAAGGATAAAAAAAGATAGTTCAAGTATGAATCGTTATAATTGTGTCAAGTTTGAGTATTACCTCAATTATAGCCGATTAAGAGTAGTGCTTAAGGGTGCTTAAGAGTAGCCTTTATTAATAATGATAAAAATGTAACTTCGATAAAAAATTAATAATGATAATATCAGATATATTTATTTAAAATAGTTTAAGTTATATAAATAAATTCATCTTTGTTCTGTGCTGAATTTAAAACAAATTGGATTTGTAAAATAATGTAATCATTTAATAAATTAACATTTAAATATTATTATACCTACTGCTTCTAAATTTTTTATACTTACTATTTCTGATTTATTTATTCTTTAATAAAAAACAAATTCAATTTTGTTTGCTTTGAATTTTTTTTTGTTAAATAAGCAAGCTCTTTTCGCATCTGTTTAAGTTCAGCAAAAACTTTAATATCAATTTGAAAATTTGATTCAAGCTGTTTAATATAACCCAATACTAAATCTATTCTGGTAATAGCTTGAGTTGGCGTAACAGGTTTTTGCTTCTCTAGTTCTTCTTCTTCGGGTTCACTTTTTTGCATTTCTTCTATAAGCTCGTTAATTGTAGGCATTTCATCTGTTGCATATTTATTATCAATTTCAATAAACTCATGTATAGAAATATTTAAATGCTCAGGGTTTTTAGGATTTTTTAAATCCTGAAATTGTGTAATGAGATTTTCTAATTCTGTTTCCTTATTGTTATTATTTATTTCAGCTGAAACTTCCGTATCCAGACATTTATCAATTTTTGCAAAAGGAAGAATACTAGTTTTTTGCTATGAATAAATAATTATATCTTCAGAAACCTTATTCCATGCCTATGCAACAAACTGAATTGCATCATAAATTGTAACAGGATCTGGAGTTCATTAGTTAGATTTGCTTCATCAAATGCAGCAATTCAGTTTTGTAATAATAGCTTGCGATAGTGACACTAAATTGTATAAATGTTATTTTTGTTAACAATTATTTAAAATTTAAAAAAACATTTAATACTAACCTTAAATGAGTAGATGATTCTAGCATCGCATGGTTGTAACCATGCTGTAGTATTTTTTGGAAGAAAAACTACATTAATATTAGACAAATTCGAACCTTCAATAGAATGTGCTGAACAATTATCTACAAGTAAAAGAATTTTTCGATAAGCAAGACGCATTTAACTATCTAATTGCGATAACCAGTTTTGAAAAATCGAAATCTGCATCCAGACCTTTTTGTTCTAATAATATTTGACAGGTAAAGTTGATTTTTTTATTCCTCTTATCACATACGGATTTTCAAATTTATGAATAAAGACCGGAGGCAATTTATGACCAACTGCATTGCATGTTAACATTATTGTAACCTGATTTTTTGGCTTTTTAACACCTGCAATATGACCATGAGTAAGTGATTTTGAAGGTTCTAAGAGCCAATAAAGTGCTGTCTCATCGCAATTATAAACATCTACAAGATCATAATTTGCTATATTATTTTGTAAAG